ATTTGAGTTGTGAACTTTCACAGGTGTACTGTGTAAGACTCACTGTTGGTTTAGGGTTACAGAAGAATCCAGCTAATGAGCAATTTGCCTGGAATAGAACTTGTTCATAAGTCAGGGACTTACTATAATGCATTGGGTTTTTGGTTTTGTTTTGTTTTCTTTCCTCTTTGTTTTTTAGAACTATTCTCTGAGTAGGGAGTATTTGAAAGGGAAATACTCCCCTTTTTAAAAAATAATAAAACTTAAACTGTGTAAACAAAGCAAAAGAGCTTGCTAAGGTCATTATGTCCTTCAAAGTGTTTTCCAGTCTTACTTTAGAAGACACTTGCTACCAGTACATACTTATTTTGTACAATGAACTATTACAACTTTTTACATTCAGTTATCCATGTAGGTACAGGATTGATTTGAATTTGCTTCACAGGCAGTTTAGTTTTTTTGAAAAAGAATGAAAGGCTAATTTTTAGGCAAAAAAAACACTTCAAGGTGGTTCTATTTCCGTTCTTAGCCTGATACACCTTTAAAAATATCTCTACTTAGAGTAGCTACTGTTAATAGTGCATTATGGAATTTTTTTAGGTAACAGCTTGGATGATAAAGAAGCCATTATCCTTTATATGGTGTATTTAACCCAAGTTAAATTTATGACAGCCTGAAAAATAGCTGTAGTGTTGTACACCTCACTTCCTGGTCTGTTCAGCTTGATTTATGAGTGAGCCATATGTCCAGCAGAGTTCGTAAGACTTTTATTGAAGAGCTGGGCGTGTAGCACAGTGGTAGGGCACTTGCCTGGTGTGAATGAGTGTCTGGGTTCAACCCTGAATTTAAAAAAAAGAGGAAGAGAGGAAAGAGAAAAGAAAAGAATGTGTTATTGATAGATACAAAGGCAGTTTCGTGTACTCAAGGAGAAATACACACAATAGTGTGTGTATACCTTTGCAGTTTTGGTTTACAAGGAATTTAACTGTGGCTTAACTGCTTCTATGCAGTTGATCAATTTAGGTGGGAGATCTTTTTGTTGTCTTTTCCTTCTTTTTTTTGAGGCAAGGGCTTGCTATGCAGGTCAGGCTGGCCTTGAATTCACTATGAAGCCCAGACTGGCCTTGAATTCATGGGGATCCTCCTGCCTCAGCCTCCCAAGTTTGCTAAAAGTCAAGCCTACCAGAAACCTAAGTTTCTGATGTAGTACACTATGTATCTATCCTGCCCAACTCTTCTACCCCATTCCTATTCCCTCATAATTATTTACAGGAGGAACTTTATCTACCTAACATATAGCTTGTGTTGTATTTAAAGCTCTGCTCTTATATCCAATCTTATTAAAGAATTCCATAGCATAATGTTGATTTAAAAAATTTAAAGCAGTGGCTGTACAAAATAATAAAATGTACAGACTTTTTCATTTAAATGTAGTCCAGCTAAAACCATTAATGAGGGATCATCTCTGAGCAAAGAGTACAGAATTTCTTAGTGGTTCTGTGTGCTGTCTTGTCTTCCTTATGGGATTCATATAAAAATCCAGGCACAGGAATAACATTTATGTGGTCATCTTTCTGTACAGATGGTGCTAATAAATCGCAGCTCCCAAAGAGACTTTCTAACTTGGCAGCATATTTTCTGTGAGAAACTTTAACAAGTTGTCTTTTAAACAACTTTAAAAAGGTGTTGGGGGTAGTTGTGTTGATCTGAAAGAGCTTTTGAGACTACCCTCAGCATTGTTCAAGTCATGATATATTAATCATGAAACGAAGCAGCACCATTTGTTTCTGTAGACACAGAGCTTTCTAGCTGGGGTTGCACATCATTTGCAGAGTTGTGTTTGCTTCTGCTCCTAGAGATTCTGATTCAGTAGGTGTAAAATAAAGTCACTGCATGTGTTTCCTGAGTTTTAGAGATGTTTATAATAGACGAGCTTCCACTTGAGTGCCACTGCCGGCTTACATTTAAATTGGAGCCGCACATGTTCCATACAGCAGGGAGGTGTGTTCTTTCATACTGGTTTTATGACTTTACAAAGAGGAACCTAGGAGGTAGCTAGAAGGAAATCTTAGCTGTCATCAGAATTTGGATTTAAAAGGGAACCAAAAAAGGCTAACCTGTAGAAAGAGACACAAGATTTTGCAAGTCAGTAGCACAAGAAAATACTAGATCGAACGAAGACTCTGACTTGAGCTCCTCCCACACTAGTAGCTTGAGTCTAGTACGTACCTCTTGTAGCGATGCTTCAAAGCCTCTCGATAATCTGGACATTGTCTTGTGCATCCTAGAGCCGGCTACTGCATTGTGAGGTCTCAGGGTACTTAGTACAAGCAGTAATGCAGTGAGCATGAACTCCTCATCCTTTGACATTCCTGGCAGATTTTGTGAGTGACATGGTAGTTCGAAATTATAGACATTATCCAAAGTGCTTTTGCAAGCTCTTGGTAAACATGGAAACTTCTGGCAGGAGCTGCCTTGATTTGTCACCAAAGATTGTCAAGAACAAGAAGATCATTTTTCTCATTAACTGATCCTCAAGTACTAGCAGTCAGCCTAGGAAATTGTGCCAATATTAGCATTTCTAAGATGGGCTGACTTTTGGCAAGTACTTTAGAAAAAGGACATTACACCCAGATTTGCAATTTAGCCAACCAAAAGAGTAATATGTTTATTAATTAGGATTAGCTGTTTTGGCTGTTTAAAAAAATCCAAATGACTGTAGCTTAGTCAAAGTAGAGATTGAGTTTTATTTTGGATAAGAAAAGTTCAGAAAGTCAGTCCAGTATTGGCATGGTTACTCTACAGCCCTCAGCAACTTAAGTTGTTTTCCTCCATTGTTCTTAGCACTATATTATCTCTTCAAGGTGTGTGGTGATTCTAGGCAGCTTCTGGTCCTTCAGAGATTCATAACCTGCACTTGCTAAGTGCCTGTGAAAGACTTTTATTTTTGTACGGAGATTTGAACTCAGGACCTTGTGCTTGCCAGGCAGGCACTGTATCACTGAGCTATATCCCCAGCCCCCAAAGACTTTTCTAGAACCATCCCACTCATTGATTTCTGCTTCAGTCTCATTGGTAATTTTGTTGCTTTTTGCAACAATTAGATGTTCTGTTAGTAACATCTAGAGGGTATTGGACAGGCAACCAACAGACTGCCACAGCTGGCTTTGGAGAACATATTTACATTAGGAAAATAAAATTTCATTGGCATCAGACAGTGTTACATAGAACATAAATTTAAAAGCTCCCCAAATTGCATCTACTGAATGCCTGATAAATAAAAGTAATAAATCTCTAGGGTTTATTACTTTTATTTATCAGGAAACAGCTGTTAGGTTTTTGATATTTTTAAACTGAAAAAGTGACTTCTGAAAAAACAACGAAGATACTTCAGATTAAATCCTTTTTCATTCTGGAGATAGAGAGAATGAAAACAGCCACAAAATTAGCAGGCGTATAACAATATTAGATGATACAAGTCAGGAATGAACATATGAAAAATACTGAACTTATATTTAAGCAAAAGATAGACTAATGTGGTACATGAGAGAAATACAAAATTTGATCAGAAAATACAATGAATAGTTTAAAAAAATTCTTTAAGTTATTACAGTAAAAGACACATTGCCATTAATTTCGCTCACAGCACTCCCTCACTTGGCCCATCGTTCTTATGCTTCCTCAAGAAATTCTGGAAGTCCTCTTCATGTCTTTAGTTGTACTGTTGTGGCCGCCTGTGGTGCCCGAATTTATTCAGAATGTTCGCTTCTCATGGTCATTTCGACTTTGCAGAGGAGCCGGAAGTCACAGGGCACCAGATGCGGACACAGTGCAATGTTTTACGAGCCTGCCTTTTCTATCAGCTGGCGTGCAGCAGCCGCGTCCCCGTATTTTATCATATCCCATAAAGAGACTCACTGGACATTTCGATCACATCTCAGGCATATGTCACAGCAATGAATTGCATTAACTCCAGATATATAAGTCCTGCCCTGGAGAGGATGTAGTTGGTGTGTATAACCTCTGCCTATGCTTCACCTATATAAATAAGAAGAAAATGAGAAGATGTACGGAATTTGGTTCCACATCTAAAAAATGTGGAAGCAGAAGCAAACAGTAACTGAACGCATATATACCTGTACATCATGGTGCGTGTGTGTGAGAGGGAGATACTTCTGCTCTATAAGAACAGTTAATTTTTAAGTTTGTGGTCTCGTAAGTATCCATTGTTAACACCCATTTACTAAATGCCTCACATTTACGATACACTTTAAGGAGAAAATTCATTTACAAATTGCTGCTTAGTGAGAAAGTCTAGATTTTAGCTTCTTATAACTATAAATTTTGATTCTGGGGAAAACCCAACCTTGTTTATTTTTCATTTTTCTTCCTTTTCCTTGCGTGATTACATATCAGCAACCAAATGCAAACTGTTGACTTTTCTGCACCTGACAGAAAACAGAACACGCAGAGATTCCCTGTGAGGAGAGAGCCAGTCGTGCTGGCGTGGGGCCAGCGGCAGCCTCTGACCTCACCCTTCTGGCTTGAGTTCTCCGTGGGGCAGCAGTTGCAGACAGCTCCGTATGACTTCAGCAAACCTAGGGAGTGCTAATGAAACCAGCTAATGCCGCAGCATCTGTTAGCCTGCCCTTTGAGCCCGGCAAGCCACCCTTTGAACCTTTTATAATATTGCACTTCCAGGCACCTTCTGGGAAGAACAGCTTACACTCTGATCCAGTAATGGATGAGGGCCTTACGTAGCAGTGCAAATACCTTTTGCAGTCTGGTATGAAATAACTGCTTATGTGGACGTACTGTGCGGTGACTTAGCCTTTTCCATCCATTATTAGTTCCCCTTGAAGCTGTTGTGCTCAGTTAAAATTTTCTAGTAGGACCTGTGGAAAAGAAATGGAAATCTTATAAGATGCACTTTATTTATAGCTGATCGTTGCTAATACACTTGTCTCTTATCTTGGTGTTCGTGTCTCCTGTCCCATTCCCTGTTTCCCCTCTGCTTCCAGCTGAAGGTCTCCCACAGGTGTACTACTTTGGACCATGTGGAAAGTACAGTGCCATGGTGCTGGAGCTCCTTGGCCCTAGCTTGGAGGACTTGTTTGACCTCTGTGATCGAACGTTTACTTTGAAGACGGTGTTAATGATAGCCATCCAGTTGGTAAGCTGGCGTTAATATTCCAGAAGAGATGCTGGTCTCCCTGTCACACCCCGGTGGGCCTTTTGGTGATTTATTAGCTCTCACAGCATTGAGTGAAATAGTTCTTACAGGCTTGCCAGCATGCTAGGAAGCTGGCTGGGGCAACAAGGGTTAACCAGAGAATTCACACTGTCTCTGCAGTTTGCTCTATTTTAGGAATTTGCACCTTGGAGCAATACCCTGCCCTTACCTGAAATGGAAACACAGAATTTAGATGAGGGAGAAAGAGGATTAGGTGGAGTTGTACCCGTTCAAATAATTTCTCCTGTGTTTTATTTATAGGTTTTGAGCAGCTGTAAGGTGTTAGATTTGTTCTCCCTTTCCCCTCACTGTTGCATCTTAGAAAAGAAGAAAGACATAGCCCACTGCTCCAGCCCTTGTTTGTTTTTAACCAGGTCTCGCTATGCAGACCTTGAACTCGCTGTGCAACCTACACTGGCTTCGAACACCTGCCTCAGCATCCTAAGTGCTGGCATTACAGGCATTCGCTACTACACCCGACTTCTAACTCTTTTTTGCTTAAAATTGCTTAACCAAGAAACCTTAGTCCTCTGGCATTGCTTACCCTTACTCCTCTGGCATTGTGACCCTCAGAATGGCCGAGAGGCAGCTCTTGCAGCTCCCACTCAACTGCACACCAGTCTGGGTTTCTGGAGCAGTAGCTGCAGGGCCCCTGAGCAGCCGCGTGTCCGCCTGGGGAGGATGCACATACACCTCACTGCTCCACACTGCAGCAGGCCCACTGCGGCCTAGAAGACAGTGGGCAATACTGTGTCTGAAAATTCAGATGCCTAACTTTCCTTTATATACTAAATAGAGACGCTTTGTAGATAGAAATAGTTAATGAAATTTGAAATAATGTTATTATTTAGAGTATATTTACTTTAATATAAAAAACTGTAGCCCTGCCCCTGCTCTTGATTAGCTGTCTGATATCAGGCCAATATTAACTCCTCTAAGTCTCACTTTTCTTATTTCTACACCAGTGGAAGTGGGGTGGGGAATCTTGTCCGATGCAGGATAGGAAGATAAGGTGGGGAAATGAACCTGCTGTGGTACCTGTCCCAAAAGCCATCGATTGTCCGGCATCCTTCCTGGTAGTACTTTCCCGTCAAAGATTTACTTGCTGAAGTAGCATAAAAATAATGTATTAAATGTGCAAATTGTGACATTATAAGGTAAAATTATATTATTCATCTTAGCCAAACTACACTATTCCACTCTTCCTAATCAAGTCACTAAAGTGGGTGGTAAAGACAAGATTACTTTCATTTTTATTTTGGTGTTAAAACCTAATGCTGAGCTGTGTTCAGCACATCTGTTACATCAGCTACTTCGGGGTGCTGAGACAGGAGACTTGCTGGAGCCAAGGAGTTCAGGACCATCCTAAACAGTATAGCAAGACCTTGTCTCAAAAAATAACATAAGGGCGGGAGATTTAGCTCAGCGGTGCAGCGCCTGTGCGAGTTTAATTTGCAGTGCCAAAAATAATAATATAATAAAGCAGTGAGTGTGGTGGTGCGCGCCTGTAATCCCAGCACTCGGAAGGCTGAGCCAGGAGGGTGACTGAGAGTTTGAGGCCAGTCTGAGCTACATAGTGAGTTCAAGGCCAGCCTGAACTACATAGGAAGATCCTGTCTCAAAAACAAAACAAAACAACCCACAAGACAAAACAAAACCAAAATCCTTATGTCAAAATATTTTAATCTTTCAGATATGCTTATTGAAAGTGTTTCCATCTGTTTTTTGTTGTTGTTCTCTTCTAGCTATCTCGAATGGAATATGTGCACTCGAAGAATCTCATTTACCGAGATGTCAAGCCAGAAAACTTCCTGATTGGCCGACAAGGCAATAAGAAAGAACATGTAATACACATAATAGACTTTGGACTGGCCAAGGAATACATTGATGCTGAAACCAAAAAACACATAGCTTATAAGGAGAACAAAAGCTTAACTGGAACTGCAAGATATATGTCTATCAACACGCATCTTGGCAGAGGTGCGTTTATTTTCTGCTCCATGAAAGGGGCAAAGTATTAGAACGACTTTATTGCAATAACACTTTTATCCCATTGTGCTTTACAACTTGTACTTACTGCTTCCCAAGATAAGTGGTTTTTATACTTGAGAAATTAAAATGGTAAGTTAATGATTGGCTTAAGTGTCCTATTGACCACTAATGGCTTCTTAATTCTTTACACTATGTTTCCAGGTGTTCATGCCCACGTTTCTCAGTACTATGAAAACATGAGTATTATAACAAAGGTCAAAGGTATTATAACAAAGGCATTTTTGTGAGTTTAATACTGAGTTTGCATGTATATATATTGGACTCCAGAAATGATAGTCCTGTGAAGGATGATAGGCTGGTATCTGCTTGGGGAAAAAGAACTTCACTAACGTGCAGTCTGGACTTCGTTCACTGTGAATAATTTCATGCAGAGCCTTCAAGGAAGAGCTTCTGTCTTACACTGAAAATATATTTGCTTTACTCTGAGTCTTGTATTTTTATTCAGGATAAACAGTCCACACAAATATTACCGAAAGCTCTAATCAACACAGAAGACGCTGCTCGTCAGAGGAGCTGGCTCGAGTGTTTGTGTGAGAGCCCCAGGAGCAGTGAGGAAGCCAAGTCCTGGGCGGGCCCCTTGTTAGTGTTGCCAAGAAAGCTTCCCTTTTTATTTGTTTTATAAATTGGGCTTCCATGCAAGAATTCATTTACAGAAAAGGTACTTAGGTGGTTAAAAAAATAGGAAAATCAACATGCTAGAGTAGATGGATGAGCAGAATATTATCAGGTTCTCTGCTCCCTGACATAGCTAATTATATAAACTCTTTAAAGTATTAATGAACTGTTGTACACTAAGAAGTATTTTAAAGACCTACTAAATTGCCTCATTGAGTAAACTACACAGATATTCAGATGAAGATTCTAGTGACAGTGAAGAATAAAATAACACTGGCAAGTAGTAAGATCCAGTGTCAGTTGAAATGATGAATGAATGCTGTCAGGATTTTTTCATTAACTCCATGGAAATCCTCACTTTACCTATTGTGATACTTTAAAATCAGACAAGAAGGATCCCCTGCTACCTGTCAGTGTCATTTCAGACAAGCTGCTTAATCTCCCCGAAATGTGTCTGGAAAGTAAAGGTCATACTTTGGCAGGATGCTTTGAGGGGTGAATGTGGATAATCTATGTACAAGCGCCATGCTGGTCTTAGTCTTTTTTCTTCCGGCACACAGAATACCCGAAAGGGGATAATTTAAATGAAAGGAGGTTAATTTAGCCATTGTGGTGAGGAATCACGTGGTGTGACCCCGGAGCAGTGAGAGGCGTGTGTGAAAAGAGCAGGGCACAAGGGGACCAGGCAAGTAATCCAGTCACAGGAAAGACATTAAGCCCACACACAGGCCCTGCCTCCCAGCATCTCTGCCTTGGCAATCACATTCTCCCTGAATTTTGGCCACGGTCAAGCTACATGCAGCCCATAATAGTACCTAACACAAGTCTCTTGGACACCCTGTCTGATGTCCCCCCTTCCTTCCTGTGACATGTAATCTTCCTTTTTACAAGGAGTTAGACTGGATCACGTAGTAAAGTCATAGTTGTTAGGTTTAACTCACAAAGTCCAGAAGTTACTCTAAGGCCTGCTTCCTAGGCTTCACAGTTCATGTACTGATTTTATTATTTTTGTCAGGAAAGTCAAGAATAGACAAGGGATAGAGATCCATTTTTGTTTGAGTAAAGGGCAGTGTAATCTTTTAAGAAAAAGAGATACAAATTGGGCCTGGTGCCACAGACCTAGAGTCCCAGCACTTTGAAGACTAAGGCTGGAGAATCAAAATTTGGAGCCCAGCCTGGCCAGTGTAATAACTTAGTAAAACCTTGTCTCAAAATAAAAAATGTATTGCAGATGTCACTCAGTGTGATCCCCACTACCAAAACAAGGACGGGGCAGGGGTGCAAATCCCAGCCATTTACTTAATAGCTGTGTGATTTTCGTTCAGCAAACTTTCTCCCTCAGTCTTAAGTTATCTCATCTGTAAAATGGGAGTGATAATAGTTTCTAAAATTTAGGGTTATGTGAATAATGTAGAGTGTGTCTAGTGTCTGGTAAATAAGTGTCTTTGCATGTGGTAGTTATCTTTACCGTTATGTATTCAACAAGATATGTCTTAAGCATCTACTGTTTATCATACTAAGCTCCTTTATCCCTCTACGTTTTTTTGGAGACAGGGTCTCACTGTGTAGCCCAGGCTGGTCTCAAACTCCTGGCGGTCCTGCCTCAGCCTCCCAGAGAGCTGAGATTACAAGCAGGCGCCACCACACCGGGCTTAGGCTCCTCCATCTTTTAGTAAATTGCCTCCTGCTGAAACTTTGTACTTACCTCCAGAACTGTGTGTCCTGGGTTCTGCCATTCCTCAGGTCAGATCCAACCTCTCACTATATTTTCTTGCCCTCCACATTGCGTGGAATACTTACAGATGGTGTCACTGCCATTTAACTTAGTGCCATTGATTTTTAAGTGCGGTCGGTGCATTCTGTGTTGCAGAGAAAAGAGAGAAAAAAAAAAGACTGGGAAATGTATTGTCAAATCATTTGGAGAGAGTGGCTGTTAAGGTTTTTAAGGAAGAAGAGCAAGGGGAAAAGCTTACCGTGACACATGAGCCGCCTTCCCGCTGTTTCAGCCCTGATTGAATCAGCTCAGGCAGTGTTATTTCATGGTTGAAATTGGAGCGCAGGCACTGGTTACATTGCCTTTCTTCCAGCATGGAAGCCAAGCACATCTTTCTGATGGGCTAAAAGGAAGCTTTCATAGTGTTGAAAAATTTTTCTGTTGTTCTGTGGTATTTAAACCTTCCCTCTTTAAAAATGAAAATCTCCTCCTAGGCAAGGGTGTGGGAATAAAGAGCAAGTGTGCATGTTCAGAGAAGTATGAAAGTAGAGCACACTCTGGCTTTTAACTCTTTTTTCTTGAGCAGTCTCAATAGTTGAAGTTATCATTGATTATTTTAGAATTTTAGGGCTGGAAATCATTTTTCAGGTGATATAAATTGACCACTTTATTTTCAGATGAGGAAACTAAGGCCCCAAGCAGGTGACTTAGCCGTGGTGGATTTCTCTGGACCAAATGAATGGAAGGGCTAAGCCAAGACCTAGATCCCTGACCCAGTTTAGGAGCCACTGCTATTCTTCATGCTTCTCGGGATTGAAAAGTGTCTTTATTACTCATTCCAGTGAGCTTGAAAATTTTTTAAATCTCATTTTACAATGGGCTTAATAGTGAAGAGAAGCACCCCCCCCACCGTGGGCCTGATTAATACTGAAAATGTGGAGAGTTTTGCCCTCTAGTGCCCAACTAAAATTCAACCATTTGGTGTTACTTTTTTTTTTTTTTTTTTAAACCAAGGGGACTCTTGTTACAGGAAGTGGATATAAAAATGGAGAGGTGATGAGTAGGTGTGATATAGTGAGAAACTGTGCCCTGCTTTGTGGGAGGCCTGAACTCACTGGCATGTTTTTCATTTTTAGGGTGTTTTTGTTTTTGTCTTTTGCAGCAGGGTTCCACTATGTAGTTCAGGCTAGCCTTGAACTCACTTTGTAGCGGCTGGAGTCAAACAGTGATCCTCCTACCTCAGCCTCCTGAGTGCTGGGGTTACAGGCGAGCTTTACCACACCCAGCATATTTTCCATTTTTCATTTTTGTGTCTTCTTGTTATCAAATTGCTTTTTGGTTTCAATTGTATGTATATTTTATTACTAACTTTAGATAAGCCATATAGACAAAAATGTCTGATGATCTTCAGTTTTATTTCATTGTTTTTGAGATTCTTTCAAGCCGAGTGTGGTGGTACATATTTTTAATTCTAGCATTCTGGGAGGCTGAGGCAGGAGAGTCTCAAGTTCAGGCACAGCCAGGGCAATTTAAGGACTTAGGAAGACCCTGTCTCAAAATTAAAGAGTAAATAAATAAATAATTTTTAAAGGGCTGTATGTGTACCTTAGTGGGAAGGACTTGAGTTCACTCTCTAGTTATTTTTAAAGAAAAAAAAAAAAACAAAACGTTATTTCAGTTGAGATACAGTCCTCAGTTTTAAGTTATTTATCTCTTTGTCAGGGTGTCTCCTCTTTTTTCTTTGTTTTTGAAGTACTGGATATTGAATCCAGGGCGTTGTTAAGCAGACTTTCTCTTTCTGTTAGTAACTGTCTTTTCAAAATCCTTCCAATTGCTGTTTAAAAAGTTGCCTTTTCTTCCTTCATCTGCCCTGTAGAATACTAGCCATTCTTTTTCATGCAAATTTCCTACAATTCTAGGCAACAGGTAACCGTCTTCTGCCTGTGTATGCGCAGTAAGCTGAGTGGCTGGCTTTTCCTGCTTATATGGCAATCTTGAGTCTTACAGCGCTACACACACCAAACAAACATCGAGGGCTGGGGCTGGGGCTCTGTACAGTGCTTACTTGTATACACAAGGCCCTGCCTTCAATTCCCAGTACCCAAAAAAGAAACAGCACACACCCTGGGTCCAGTTAAAGGTAGCCTCTTGGTCTTGCTTCTGTAATTTTTAAAATAAAGTCCTGCACCTGATTCTGAAAAATAGAATACATAAATTGTCTGTGGTGAACCATAAATGATAAATGAGAGTCATGTAACCAGTATTCAGGCTGCCAGCCAAAGAGTATTAAAGTTGTAATTTTTTAACTATTTTCTGTATTCAGCAGTTTGCCTTCCTAATTAAAAGGAAAGGAAACAGCAGCAACTTGTTTTAACTAAGCCCCAAATGCCCACAGTTTTATGTTCCCATAGAGATTACCTTATTAGTGAACTTCAAATTTTTCTGAAGAACGTTCTCATGTAGTATGTAGTACAAATGGCATAGGAACCAAGAGATCATGCATAGAGATTTGCTTATATGAAGCTGAATTCTAAGTGTCAGTTTTTATGCTGAACAAGAAGTGCTAAGCGTGTATGTCAGGCATTCTGCAGCTTGCATTGTTGCAGGCAAAGCTACAGTGGACTATTAACAGTAACCCTGGGGTAACTGTATCCCATACACATGACCTCACCTTCAGGCAGGTGACAGCAATGAGCAAGAGGGGGTGATTACTCACTGTTCAGTGATTGGGACTTGGTTTTAATTTCGGATTTGCTCTTTTCACTTGCTGTTTACTTGCTAGCAAGAGATACAAAGGAACTACACATATATTTTAGATCAAAACCAAAAACGGTTTCTGGTTTAAATACACAAAGAATTAGTAAGCAGAACCTTTCTCCAGAGCAGAAGGACTTCTGAAGAGATTTCTCAATTTTGAACCTCTTTCTGCGTTCATAACTGCAAACATATTGTGTGATCTGTCTTCCCTTTTAGAGCAAAGCCGGCGAGATGATTTGGAAGCCCTGGGCCATATGTTCCTGTATTTCCTTCGAGGCAGCCTACCTTGGCAAGGACTCAAGGTATCCTTGAAAGTGCTCGCTGGACGGCTCTCGTGCTCAGCTGTGAATGAGGGTTGCTGGCATAGATCTCTAAGAAGCGCAGAGATGAGACGCAGGAATTAGTCCACATTGTGAACGCTCACCTGAGCTTTGGGAGCTATTTTATTCACATTCGGCTTCTTCCTGCTCTTCCTCCTTCCCTCTTTGTGTTCGGGTTCTCCCTAACCTTTCCCCTTATTCTTCCCAGCTTTGCAGTGCTGCTTTTCTTTCCGTGTCGGTGTCCCTCCTCCTCTGCCATTCTGTAGCAGAAGGAGTGTTCCTAGTGTCAGGGAATTTCTGGAGCAAATGGATGACAGCAGCTGCTGCATATTTTACCAGAAAGGCCAGCAGGATCAGCCCTTAAGTGGAACTGGAAAGTATTTGTTCATACAGCTTAACTAAGGACCTTCCGAAACTACAGGTTTAAGCATATTACAGAATAAATATCTTATGCTGTTCACGTGTGTTATAAAATAAATATACTCTATGGACAATACTAATTCCTTGCAGAATGTATAGTTTGAATAGTCTCCCTTGGGGTGGTATCAGTTCAGTGCCTACGTGTCAAGGATAACAGTATCATCCTAAGTATTACAATGGCTCTGCCTCTGGCTGTTACACTAGGAATGGTGAGCTTCTTACCCATCTTAAGTCCCTTTAGATAGTTACCCATGAGGTGCATTTTTACTAGTGCTTGGGAGGGTGAGGCAAGAGGATCACTGCGAGTTTAAGACCAGCCTGGACTACATAGCGAGACCCTGTCTGAAAAATCCAAAGGGAGAGAGATTTTCTTAATGTGGGATGAAATGTAATCTGTAGCTTGGGCTTCTCCTATACACTTTCCTCCAGAAGGGCAGAATTACTCAATTTGCTGTACTTTCTAGGACATTGTCCTAGAAAATCAGGCTTCTGAACTCATTCTCTTTGAGGTTTTACCTCTTTTCTCTTAAATTTCTCTCCTGACAGCTCATCATGGTTTTCTCCCAGTCATATATATCTTATTGATGTAGAGAGCTTTCGAGAGTTACAGGTCCTACTTGCTTGTCACCTGCCCAATCAGTACCTTAGTGTACAGTCTGATTAGTTCCTTGAAACTCTGTCCTGATCCCTGAATCATTTTAGTGGTAGTGGTAAATTTAGTAACTCTCCATCTCACATTAGCTCACTGCTGCTGAAATCTGGGTGAAGCAGGCTAGATAGAGCCTGGGGGAATCTCTTAGGAGCCCGTTGTTGCCAGGCGTGTTGATATACACCTGTAATTCCAGCTACTTGGAAGGCTGATGCAGAAGGATTGCATGTTTGAGACCAACCTGGTCTCAGATAGAAAATTAAAAGGGGCCAGAGGTGTAGCTCAGTACTTTGCTACCATGCAAAAGGCCTTGCATTCCATCCCCAGTCTCCCCTTGACACACACACAGACAACTCACTATTGGCCCGAGGTTCAGAAGCCTTTTGTCTGGAATGCTAGCCATGCCAGGCTTTGAGAAACTGACACGCTAACCCTTTAAGCCATGCCTATGCTATAGATGTTTTCCCCTCTGGAAACACATTATTGAAAGGGATTTTTGTTTACATCTTGACCTTTTTCCCATCCTATTATAACTCCTGTTATATATGTAGTGGAGCTGTCTGTTTCTTCCACTTGTATTGGGCAATACTTTTAATCGTATCCTACAACTGATCCAGGAGGGCGAAGGCTCAACCCCTGTTGAACTCCAGTGGCCATGAAAGATTACCGAGCTTCTGCAGTTTTGAAAATACTAGTATATAATATTTTTATTTTCTTATCGCCGCTGCTCATGTCATATTTAATGTCTTTATCTGAGACTTTTTTTGGCAAGTAAGTGTATTTGCAAGTAAAACTTTCCAGAGTCCAGCAGCTGTCTGTGCAGATCTAATATATGTATTTCTTATTAGTGTTAGGGAAAAAACTGAAATGGGGCAGCAGTCCTGACAACTTGAGTAAGCCATTATATCAAAAATTTACCAAATCTCTTACAGCTCCTTCCAGGTAACTGTCTTTCTTTCCTTTCTACAGGCTGATACCTTAAAAGAGAGGTATCAAAAAATTGGGGACACCAAAAGGAATACTCCCATTGAAGCTCTCTGTGAGAACTTTCCAGGTAGGATGCCAGAAGGATATTTCAGCCAAAGTAACTAAACTGTTGAAGTTGGTAGAATCTGTGACTCGGTATCTCTAGAAAAGGTACTTTCCATAGAATTTACATTTCCCTGTATTATTCAGGCCAGCATAGGTTTATTACTTTTCTTTGGACCATAAAATAAATACTACTGTCAGTTTACTCTGCACAGATAGTGCCGTGTGGTCCTCAGCTTACGCCCCCGGGAAGCATTCAGCTACCAAGCCCTGCCTTTCTTCTCTTTCCCAACAGAGGAGATGGCAACCTACCTTCGCTATGTCAGACGATTAGACTTCTTTGAGAAACCTGATTACGAGTACTTACGAACGCTCTTCACAGACCTCTTTAAAAAGAAAGGCTACACCTTTGACTATGCCTACGATTGGGTCGGGAGGCCCATTGTAAGTACCCTCTTTCTTGTGACCTCATCACCTTTCTCAGACCAGCACTGCCCTACCCTTGACTCCTCAGTCTTTCTTCTTAAATCTTTGGGGTAAATTCCTTTGATTGTAGAGTTCATTTTTACCAGCCTTTTTATAATGCCATAGACTGCTGTCCCTGGAGTTAGAATTAGGAGTTACACATTTTTAAGATTATAACTGGTACATCTTGTACTATACTATAATTTAGACCAGTTTTTTAGAAGTCTCATTGGAAGGATTCAGAATCTAGTGCTGCATATCCTGTTAAGATACGTGGTGGCTATAGGAGTGGAGCCCAGTGCAACAGGAAAGTTGGACTTCCAGTTTTGGCCCAAGGTCCACAGGTCCGGAGAGTATGCTGAGAGATGGTGATGCAGAATTTTTTTAGCTTTCGAAGATAAGCAACTCTCCATTGAACTGTTGAGAACCAGACTACCTGCCTCCCTTTTGCAGATGGGCAAAGTGAGATAAGACAGAACCACTTGAAACTGCCCTTGATATCTGCACAGAATTCCTGCTACTTTGTGAGAATAGCGTGGCGCTCTCCTGTGCATCAAGTTGCCCCGGTTGTCTCCATTTGATTTTTATTCATTTTTCTAGCCTACTCCAGTAGGGTCAGTTCATGTAGATTCGGGTGCCTCTGCAATAACTCGAGAAAGCCACACACACAGGGATCGGCCATCACAACCACAGCCTCTTCGAAATCAGGTATGTTTTGGTCCTCCTCTCCGTAGCTAACGGTAAACCCAAATTCTCCAGCTTCTTTGTGTTTCTGGGTACAGTGACGTCAAAGGAACAGGCTAGCCATTTCTCACTGGTTTGGTGTGATATGCTAGCAACCCTCGGGGCACGTGTAATTGCACGGAGACAGAGAGTCTGGGCCTCGAAGTGTGTTAGTCAGAGGGTGGAACTGGAGGTGAGGAGGGTCTGAGGCCGCCTGCCACGGGCCCGGGGAGGGGTGCGTGTACGAGGAGTGCCCGGTGACCCGCTTTGGGTCTCGTCTCCAGTCCTCCAGTGTGTAGTTCGTGCCACTGCTGACTTTTCCTTGCTCCTTAGAAAGGGCAGGTAGTTTGAATTTCCCGCTGACCCTCGGTATGAACTGGGACCTCCACACTATCCCTTGTCATTGTATCCAGGTTAATTCTAGAGCTGGCCTCGTTTGAAGTGGACCTGCAGTAAGACTGGTTTGCCAGGTGTCCAGTGTTCGTTGTTTGGGAAACTAGTGGTCTAGATGAGAGACATCTCCCAGCCTAATGACAACACAGGAGGCAAACGCACAAAAAATCGAATTTGACAACCTTTCAAAGAACGCACCAGGCCTGGGATTATAGCTCAGACAGACACTTGTGTGTCATGCTCCAGCCTGTGGGTACAGTCCCTAGCACACTCTGTGTGTGTGTGTGTGTGTGTGTGTGTGTGTGTGTGTAACTGATTGGGATGTAATTAATGACAGAGAATCTTACCTTTATATATCATCTGTATTGCTAAAAGTGAAGACCCAATAGATAAGTAGGCAAAAAGATAATAAACAGGTTATATATGCCTCTATAATCACTATCACATCCTTATTTTTTATATTAACAGAAATTCTTATAAGAAAATATAAAAATGTACATAATTTCATCAACCCACATGTGCAAGCACACAGGTTAAGAATACAGTAGCATATAGGCTGGGTGTGGTGGTTCACACCTATAATCCCAGCACTCAGAAGGCAGAGGCGGGAGAATTGCTGCAAATTCAGTGCCAGCCTGCACTAGGTAGACCCTGTGTCAAAAAGAAAAAGAATAGCGTATAGAAGTATACACACATGCATATGTATAATGAAGTACATCCACAGAAACAGATCTCGCCAGTAAGTGTATGTGTGGCAAAATGTGTGATTTGATGAGTCAGGGATATGTGTAAAGCAAGGAAAGTTGTGTGTCGGAGGATCTGTCTGTCTGTCTTTCTGTCTTTCTGAAGGGGCTGGGCTGTAGCTCAGTGGTAGAGCACTTGCCTAGCCCAGGACCCAGGGTTCGCTCACCAGCGCCACCACCCCACAAAAATAGAGTTGGCTAAGACTTAGGATGACTGACTCTGATTTGACAATGAAAGAGAACAATCTCTTCTTAAAGGGCCAGTGCAGGTGAAGACAAAGTTAAATTGACACTCTTATACATTGCTTTTGCATTTGCAAATTGGTACAGATTCTCTAGAAAATAATTTAATAAAGTTACTATCATTTTGAATATCTTACTTCTTGGAGTCCATCGTAATGAAGCACCCTAGCTGGGCGTGATGGTACACACCTGTAGTTTCAGCACTTGGGAGGCTGAGGCAGGAGGATCACTATGAGTACAAGACTACCCTGGGCTACATAGGGAGATCCTGCCTCAAAAAACAAAAAAGAAAAAGAAGAAACACCCTAAAATATAGGTTATGTCCGTAAAATTGTTACACTGTCAGAACAAATGTTTAGAAGTGATCCACTTACTCCTTTATAAGGGATTAGCTATGGATCCTCCTCAAATACTTTATTGAATAAATGAGGTTACTGTCTTAGTTACTTTTCTCTCCTTGCTGAGACAAAATACCCAATGCCCAAAATTAAGGAGGGAAAGGTTTATTTAGCTTGCAGTGTGTGGAGGTTTCAGTCCTTACTTGGCTGGCTCTGAGGCAGAAGATAGCAAAGCAACAAGAGCAAAGGGGGGAATGGCAGCGGAACAGCAAACAGCCAGAGCAAAAGGGAGGAATGGCGGCAAGCAGCCTCCTTCCCTCCCTTACATTGTAAACAGGCTGCCCCCACCTAAGGGGCGTGTAGCTCTCACATAATCTCCATGCCCTCCTCTTCCATAGGCTCCGGATGTATACAAAGTAAGCACTCTGGCTTCTTGCTGAGTCACTTAGCCAAACCTCTAGACTCCCCAAGTTGACACAATGTATCAACCATAACAGTTACACTAAAGTGAGTTGTAAAACATTTAGTCAGAATATTATGTAGCTCCTAAAAATACAGGAAAACTTACAGAAACTTGAAAAGGTTTAATCTTTGTGTATGAAGAAATCAAAATATAAAATGTTTCAAAGTGGTAGTATTGTGAGTAATAATCTTCCAAAATATAATAAAGTGTTTTTTAAAACTTTATTTTGGTTTTTTGAGAGAGTCTCTCTATATAGTTCAGGTTGGCCTTGAACTCACTTATACAGCCCAGGCTGTCCTCAAATTTTCAGTAACCCTCCTGCCTCAGCCCCCAAATGCTGGAATTAAAGGCATGCATCACCACATCTGGCTCTATAAAAAAGTTTTATTACTTTCTAATAAAAATACACTTAAGAAAATGCATGGAAAGGTTTACCAAGCAGAATTTAGGAAGTATAATAGAAAGGAGTGCAGGACCTCATGAGAGGGCAGGTTATAATCAGGGTACAGTATGGCTTAGGAGTTTTTATGTGATTTTTAGGGCGTCTCTTCCAACTGGGTGATCTAGGATATGTATTCCTGCTGTTGTCAGGCTACCATTTGGTGGAGTAGCTTAGAATGCAACAGTTTTCATGTGTTTGAATTTTAGGGAGAATCTGCCCACTTAATTCTGTTGCTTCCTTAGGAATGGTGGTCTGTGGAAAGAAAAGCACAGGCTCAGTTTATAGGCTTACAAGCCCTAGAGATACCAGGTTTTGTATCTTTAAGACCCTTAGGGCTGGGTATATGGTGATGCATACCTATAATTCCAGCACTTGGGAGGCTGAAGCAGGCAGATCTCCCCAAGTTCCAGGCCAGCCTGGGCTATATACTGTGAGTTCAAGACTACCCAAACTATAGCTTGTCTCAAAAAAAAAGGAGTAGGTGGGGAATGGGTGTACTTTTAATAGAAATAGGAAAGTTAGGGGAGGAACTTGTTTGGGTTTTGAATTTAGGCATATTGAATGTTTTTTCCCGTTTTCTTTTTCTTTCTTTCTTTTTTTTTTTTTTGGTACTAGGAATTGAACTCAGGACCTTGCACTTTCCAGGCAGGCACTGTGCCGCTGAGCTATATCCTCAGCTCAGCATACTGAGTTTGAAATACACTCACTGTGTTGTTTTTTTGGTCTTGTTTGTTTTTAGGGGGTGTTTTGTTTGGTTTTTAATTTTTTTAGACACGGTCTTGCTATGTAGTTCAGGCTGGCCTTGAACTCACTGTGGAGGCCAGGCTGGCTTTGAACTCATGGAAGCCCCCTGCCTCAGCCTCCTGAGTACTGTGATTACAGGCTTGGCCCACCACGCCCAGCACTGTCAGTGTATTGTATCTGAAGAGGTCTGGCAGGCAGAGGACCGCTCCACAGAGAACTAGAGAGGTGCTTGCAAGTTAGTGCTGAGCCGCCTCGCTGATGCCTGAAGAGCCTCCTTTTCTTGAGTGCATCGGCCTGTCAGCAGTGAAAGGGGAGGGAGCCTGGGGCTTAGTCCCATCCCTAGAGGGCGGAGAGGTAGGAGAGGAGCTTCTGCCCCGCTGTTGGCTTGTACTAAGACTTTAATCATAGGACATTAATTTATGTGGGGCCTTTACTTTCTCACATTTAAGCCTTGTAAGAGCAGGTGTTTTTGTTTTGCTCGCTGCTTTTTATCCCTAAAACGTAAGTCAGTCTCTGGACCAGGCCCTGATAATTGTTTAAATGAACAAATAAATGAATCTACCAAATGAAGGATGTGGCTGGAATCAGATGTGTTTCTCATGTAGATTTAGTTAACTTTCCGACTTGTTCTCCACTTCCACCAGGAGCCATTCTACCTGTGTTTGGCGTCCAGAGTAGAACTGGGTGTTCTGCTCAAGTGGAGGGATGTAAAAACATCTCAGCTGCCAGCCGGGCCTGAACCTCAGCTGCTTGGGATCAGAAGTTCTAGCTCTAGTTTGGAGACTATCTCCCACTTGGAAAAGAGCTAAGCCCATAACTAGTAGTAGAGTGCTTGCCTAGCATTTATGAGGCATTGTATCCCCAGTACTGAAAGAAAAGAAAAGAAAAAAAAAAAAGCCTACCCCTGAGCCAGGTGCAAGCCTATAATCTCAGCACTATGGAAAGCTGAGTAAGAGGCCTGCAAGTGCAAGCTCAGGCTAGGCCATTTAGTGTCTTAGCAAGACCCTGTCACAAAATTGAAAAAGCGCTGCAGGTGTAGCTCAGTGGGAAGTTTCTGGGACTGAAAAAAAATTATAAAAAAAATTTAAAAACTAATACTAGATGCTTAAGAATAACTTGTTTGAATATTAACTTTACCTCAACAGGAGAAATATAGTTAAATCATGAGTTTGGATAGAATAAATATTTCTAAAAACTACATTCAGTCAGAAAGATCCTAATTGGGTGGGTGTTTCCCATCACTTTAAGCCATATTTGTTTTTTCCTGGTCCCAAACGTAATGAATCTGGCCATGATCCTCATTTAAAGCAAAAATGAAAAACACTGCATTTCTGTCCTGCAGGAGGGCACAGAAATTTTAATAGCTCTACCTGGCAAAACTCATCTTGCATTCTGTGATCAAATCAATAAGGAAGTAAGTCTTGCTGATTCGCACAGATGTGATATTAGAAGACAGCATATTGTACTGTCAGAGGTTTTATTCAAAGTGCTTATTGGACACACTGAATACAGAACATTGCGCCTGTGAGGATGTACGTGCATAACAGTCTTGCCGCTTGTTCAGAGCTTTACATCCCAGGTTTTTAGCATCCTTACCGACATAAATGCTGCACAAACAT